GTTCAGATTCGACAATTTGAGGAGATCAGCGATGCTATAAAATTCGCGTTAACCGACAGTTCTAAATGCAGTCTCTGACTGGAAATTGTATTGGGCCAAAACAAAGGCGTCTGTCGAACTCTTCCAAAACAATACTGTCTGTATGCTACCTAGCTGTGGGCATACCGCGATTTTACATCACCTTCGTTTTTGAAGTGTTAATTTTCAGACTCACTTCTTTCCTGTGATAAGCCTAGACCGAAGAGGATGCACCTGTGTCCTCTTTCCTCTTCCCACTTAGAGAGTAAGGTCTCGCAAGGCCCGATCTTAATGTAAAACAAGCAGATCTGTTTTGGAGTTTTACTTGATATTTGAGCATTTTCGCTGTAAGCAAAAGGTGTGGGACTCTCGATGTTATCGGAATGCAGTGTGCGGTGGTGCCCGGTTCATGTATGTTGCGCTACTTCTTTTAGTTGTTGCCGTTGATCGTCACTACCTAAGTGTGACTTTCATCAATTTGACTAATATTAATTAATTTCCCATCTCAAACATAGTTACTTTTGCATCATTGACTGCTTTCAGTCTTCCATCCAAGTCGTAATGAAAAGTCCATCGATGGTTTTCTGCTTCTCCAATCGTAAACTGCATCAACTGAAACGCAGTGCGCAGATTAGAAAATCTAAGATATTCGAGGATTACAGTTAAGCAATGCCAGTCATTTTCAAGGGTCATTCTCGCATGCACAATAATATTCAAGCAGCCAGTGGAGAATGGCTTTTGCTTCAGTGGGCATGCTGTGTAATCCAAAATCATCACAAAAATAAGTGAAAAAAAAATTCATTTGGTAAAAAAAAAACAGCCTGATTATTATCATGAATACTATGGTTGCTTGGAACAGTCGAGATTGGGTTCCCATGTTAGTAATCTTATTGGAATGCTGCTGCATGCTAAGCGCAGCTGAGCCATACACCTTCAACTAGTACTCACAGCCCTTCCGGTTGATGTGCACCATTTCCTCAAAGGCTGCTCGAGCATCATTCACAGATACCATCGTTTATACTCATTGACAGCACGGTAAGCAGCACACCCTGTTTGTTGGATTTAACTTTCTCACGCGGTAGCAATGAAATCTTGCATAGTGATCATCCGACGGAGAAGCATTTTTCGCATCGCAGCTTCCTGCTCTACAGTATTCGCCCTTCAGCACAGATTAACGACCATGTTTCGTATACCCGACAAACAATTTTCTAATTTTTTCTCAGTTGTAACGTGTAATAACAAATAAAAAGGACAGATATCAATTCACCTGCCCATCGATGTTGAAAGTGCGTCTCTCGCTCGCTCGTTTTTCGCCAAAAACAATCCAATCAAGGGACTCTATCCAACCAAGTGCATGGCGCGAAACGCTCATTTCGGCAACCTTCAGCTCGTTGACCAATAATTTCCGCAATATTTCTTCACCCACGCTGTTGTAATATATTTCCAAAAGTAACTGAAAACAAGGACATTTCAATAAAAATAATTGGCAAACGCATGGGCTGCCCGTGCAAGGATGCGTTTTTTGCACAGTTCCCCGCAGATTTTTGTCGCTAACGACACTGCTTTTTACCGGCAAATGTTTCTAGCTAAAAAAATTTCAGACTTGCCGCCAGGACTGTCAAGAAACATACCTTCAAAATTTCAGTCTTCTAACTTCTCATTTTCCCCAGTTAACAACTTACCTGAAAAAAACATTCACAGGCCCATACGTGGGAATAACTCATACCCGGGGACTAGCTTTGTGCTCATTAATACCTACGTGAATGGGGAGCATTCCCCTAAAATTACAGTTTTCTAACTTTTCAGGTCCCGAGTTAGCGACTTACCGAAAAAACCCCGAGCTCATGCGTGGATACCACGAGTACTCGAGGACTGAGTTCGAGCTCATTGAGACTTACGTGGACGGAAAACATCCCCTTAAAATTTCAGCTTTCTAGCTTTTCTGGTTTCAGAGTTAGCGATTTACCTGCAAAAAATTTGCTGGTGCAAGTACGCGGGTACTACACGGGTAAGAGCGCCCATTTTGGAGACTGGGGCCTGTATGCGCATGTAGATCACGTTCCCAAGGTTTCAGCCCTGTAGCTTTTGTAAGTCTTGAGATGAAAAACCGTGATAGACGCACACACGGACACACAGACACACACACACACACACAGACAACTCCTCATCAATATGCGTTTTCTGCACTTCATAGCTGCACGAAACGCATAAAAAGTCAAAGATTTGGGCAAAGCAAATTGCAACTCAGGGTGGAACGCAATAGACTTGCCCGTACGACCATGCGTTTTTGCACTGATGTGTCCCCAAAATTTCAGCCTTCCAGCTTTCCTGGATGCTAAGTTGAAAGTGGATGACAACGTTCACTTGCTTCTGAACACACACACGGACGACCTCTTAACAATATGCGTTTTTGCCCGATATAGCAACGCTATAGCGTCGTACAGCTAAAACGCATAAAAAGACACTGAAAGACTGTAGGCAAACGTTTTTTTTTATCGTTTATCGACATTTATTGTTATGCGTTTTTGCTGTGCAGCGCTATAGCAGCGCTATAGCGCTGCTACAGCCAGCAAAAAC